ATTCAATATGTCGCTTGACAAAAACAAGAATAAAGGGCTTAAAAAAATCACAAAACATTCTTTAAATTATAGCTTCTCTTTTCTTGTCCCATTTAAATTGTTACGCTGTTGCTAAATTAGTGCTGAAATATCTACATACATGATTCAGAATTCTTTTTAAAAATAGATGTAATTTTTCAGTGGGGATTGACCTCAGACTTTAGATCTGTGCACGCTAACGTTACTTCACAGGCCTCCCCCCCTCACACACACACACACACATCCGATGAAGTGAGCTGTAGCTCACGAAAGCTTATGCTCAAATAAATTGGTTAGTCTCTAAGGTGCCACGAGTCCTCCTTTTCTTTTTGCGGATACAGATTAACACGGCTGCTGCTCTGGACACTCTGTCTGTCTGTCTCTCAGAAGCAATCAGCACTGATCTAACTTCTCCCATCCAAATTAATGGGAGTTTTACCATTGATTTCAATGGGAGCAGATTCAGAGTCCAAGGCCAGAAGAAACCACCAGACCATCAAGCGTGACCTCCTGCAAAAAAATCACCAACGCTCTCAGGGCAGGCCCCACTGTGCTATGCAAACATATTGCAGGAGACAGAGCCACTTACAATCTAAATGGACAAGACAGACAAATGGCGGGGGAAAGGGAGTATTATTATTCCATTTTTTACCACTGGGGAACTGAGGCACAGAAAGATTAGGGTAACACTTTCAAAACCACACTCATCTAATACACCTTAAGAGTTCAAGGCCCACTGAAAATTAATGGGACAGTCTCCTCAGTGACTTACAAGCTTTTAAATAGTTTTTTTATCTTAAATGATTTCTCCAGGGAAGTTGATGCCACCAGGAGAGAGAAAAGTTGACAACACAGAAAGAGAAAATAGAGAAGCCTGCAGCTGAAGCAGGAATCGAACCCAAATTTCCGGACTCTTGGCCTGGTGCTGAAATACAGCACCATTTGACTTCCCTAGTTCTAAGTGGAGTTGTTAAAAATGGAAGGGCAGCTCTGGCTCACGATAACTTTGCTCTTTTGTTATTTCACCACCCATTGCTTCCAGCCCCCTAAGTTTTGATGTTCTTCTCTGAGGTCCCTCTGCTTTAACTACTGAATATTTCCGGTTTGCCTGAAGAATTCTTTACGCTTTCTCCCATCCTCTTCCCCAAGGGACCCAGCCAGCTCCATCAGGGCCTGATACTTGGTGACCTTGACACTCATACAACATGGGGGAAAACCTGGGAGGGTACTCAACATCTTATTGCTGGCAGTGGCAATGACAGGTGCTCAGCGTCTCTCAGGACTTGGCCCTACAGATTGTTTATCACTGACTGTTACAACACGGGGAGTGACTGCCCAGAAGCAAGGATGAAGAATGGAAGGAAATTTCCATGTCCCAGAGAAAGTCATCAGGACATCAAAAAACACTCCCATTTGCAAAACAGCAGCATCCCCTGCCAGACCAGTATGTCTGGTTAACCTTGCGTTCAGTCCTTATGGTAATACGGTAGTTGGAAAGGAGACAGCTGGCATGGCTTTAACATCTTGCTCTTCAATCTTTTATGACAATGTTTGCAATATTACGCTTAACCTCTTCTTTATACAAAGCCCAATACAAAAACTTCCCCCAAATACCGAGCAAGCAAACCAAAGGCTTTTGACAGTAAATTTCTCTGTAAGGGGGAGAAAGTATATGAACATTGACAACAGATTGTAGCCGCGCTACATGGCTCACATATTGGAGGATCTAGTTAGATTGGAGACATATTGTCACATTTTAGGGATTAGATTGACTGTAGTAGTGATAGGGGGTGACACATCTGCCCAACGTTAACACTTCGCTTATCTCAACTGCTTTTTACTGACCGCAAGTGTCTTGATGGAGGGAGGTTGATGATGTTTTAGGAATAAAATGAATAATACTGAGCAAAAGCATGAGCAACAGAATTAAAAATGCATTTGTAGGATTTAGCCTTTGCAATGCAATTGTTGTCAGTCTGTATTAAATGCTCTTGTTTGGGTGCTTAAAAGTTAGGAACTAATTCTGGGATCAAACTCAAGTTCTCAACACCAGGTGGCATTTTTGTTCAGAGATGGGGATAAGGAATTGTTTCAAGGGGTGAGTGACTGCAGTAGGTTTTGGACCTGACCCTGTTTGAGCATTTTGTGTTAAGAGGAGCAATGATAAATAAAACCAGAGAGATACTTTTGCAGGCTTTGATCATCAATATTGACCAGTAGCACAGTCAAGGGTAAACGCAGGTAACTGGAGTTTACCAACTTCTCACTGGGGGAATATGTACTTTAATTTAGGTTAGTTTACTCACTTCCTTTTTTTAACACCAGATCACTGATATTGACTAATGAAACATAATTTCTGTTGCAACCTTAACTATGGCTTCACTACTGCTCCACCAACACAAGAGTAACCTCGGAAACAGAGAAAACATTTGCCAATTTTTAATTGTTCAAAAACTTTCATTTTATTTGCCTGTGGCCTGACTGCAGACGTGCATGGTGCAGTCACTCAGAGCAAACTATCAGAAGAGCCAACAGTTCCTGGTCTATAAATCTGGATGAGGCAAACACCATTTTGTCTTCTTTCATACCAGAGAGGCAGCATGTTTAGTGGTTTGAGTATTGGAACAGAAGCCAAGAATTCCTGGGGCTGGAACCTCAGGTGGCGTAAATTGGGGTAGCTCTACTGAGCTATGCCCATTTATGCCCGCTGAGAATTTGGCCTCTACTTTCTAAGCCTGGTTCAGTCACGTATTTGCTGTACAGCCATGGGCACGTCCTTCGGGCCCTAACACAGCAGAGCACATAGCTTGAAACTGACTTTCAAGGAGACTTGGACTCTGGAGTCGCTTTTGAAATGGCACGTAGGCTCTGAAGGCAGCTCGGCATGTTTTGAAAATACATGCTTATGTGCCATTTCAGACAATGGGACTTAAGTATATGCCTAAGAGCTTTGCTGAATCAGGTGTCAAACCCTTGGCTCCAGTTTCCCCATCTGGATGTTTAAAATCACTGCCCCTATTTATGTAATGCTATGGGTATGTAACTCCACTACTGTTGTTTTCACATCAGCAAGAGACCGGATTCCCAGGGGTGTTTCGTGCCAGGCCTTTAAGCTTCTTTATTTGTGGCTTGTGTAGGTGAATATTTAAAGAACACTTTTTTTTTGCCTAATCATTTCAAAGAAGCTATAAAAATTAAAAGTTTATCCTTTCCTCTGTGGTCAAAGCTGTAGTGTGGAATTTACTATTGCAGACGCAGCCAAGCAATTATCATTGCTTTATCCCTTAAAAAGATAGAAGATAAATTTGAAAGAAGATGAGGAACAGAATCCTTCTGTATTTTTCCTCTCATCCTTTTATCTCCCAACGTAGGAAGTTTACTGAACCCTCGCCAACAATTCACTCAGGCTAATGAAGTGTATAAGTAATGGGATTAAATAATCTCAACCCATTATTACAGTGGCTAATGCAGATGTTCTCCCAAACTAAAGCAGATGCGCAGTGAAGAAATCATGCCTGATTTAAAAAAAAAAAAAGTATTAACCGACTAGCAGATCCCAGCCCGAAGTCAATGAGACATTTAGCTCCAGCGATATAAAACACTTGGTGCAATGCATTATGACACACCTCGCAATGAACTACGGTCTCCTCCCAAGGGCCAACACATGTGCCACAAAATTAACCTTAAAAATTTGATGGCACAATAATTTTAATGCTAACATTAAAAGGAGAAATGGTTTAAAAGCACATATTCAATCAAAAAATCATTTACTTTTTAAGAGCCAATTAACAGGGACCATCCACCATTGCCACTGTAAATAAGGCAGCATCAATCCTCCATTATTGCATTCAACACTTTAGCAATAATCCCACTGCAAAGGACACATAGCAATGGCAAGGAATCATGAGGCACTGTTACCATGCTCTGAAGTAGTAATGATAATAAATAATAAAAAGTGATGAAAGAATGTAACTGAGGAATTAAAGCTTTTAGCAAGTAACAAATGGGATTCAGATTCCGGGTGTCATGAAGGCCTGATTCTGGGAAGTGTCCAACCCTCATTTCCCCCTGATATCAGTGTGAATGCAGAGTGTTCAGCATTTCACAGGAGGCACTCAGCTCCTTGCAGAACAGGCTCCTCAGCTTGTAAAGGAAACTCGAAGTTAGAGACTTAGTTACCATGGCTGTAGCCTCACCTTGCAATTAAGTGAGAATAAATATAACCGAGCAATGTTTGACAAAAGCCAGTGATGAGAGAAAGGGTTCTAGGAATTAGAGAGAAATCTACACAGGGCTGATTCAGTGATCTCCACAGAATTTTTCAGCGATATTCTGCAGCTTTACTTATTCTAAATACAGAGATTTTAACTATTTTTTTCACCCAAACCGTCAAAATACCAGGGCACGGTAAATGCAGATACTTTAATGGTGAAACATCAAAAGGCATCTGGATACAAAAGCCCTTGAAATTGATGGATGGACTCCTACTGATTTGAAAGGGCAATGGATGGGGCCTAAAGTTTGGATGCTGTTCGGCAGCTTTTATCATCCTGTGGGGTTGCAAAATTACATTGGGATCCTTCAGTCTCACCCCTCCTTCAGTGGGAGTTTTGAGGACACAAGGACTTCAGCATCAGGACTCTTACAGTGGAAAGCTTTTGGGAACAGGGTTTTCTCCTAAGAGTGCTGTTACTTCTGTTCCCAGTCAGGCTAAGTTTATCACAAGAAAAACCTCTCTCTCTTTTGGCACGTTTGTTTCAAGGCTTGGATGGAAACCAGAAATCATGCGCAAGAGGGAAAGGGGGTGGGAAATTAAACTTTTTCTGAACATCATGGATGGGTCTGTTTCTACTCTATCTAAGTTGAGTTGCTCACCCTTAACTGTAAGGCAATGCTGCAATCTACAGTAGAGAGGGGAGTATCCACAGATGTCTAAACTCTGCTGGTTTGTGTTCATGTTGAAAATGAGCCTCGGCACTTACAATGTAGCAGGGTTCACAATACGCTTTCTTCTCCACCGCGTAGAAAGGCTGGCCTCTGAGCTTGTTGCCACATGTCATGCAGGTAAAACATTCCACGTGGAACACTTGGTCCATGGCGGTGCATCCAGTGCCTTCCCCGACAACATTCTCACCGCAACGGGAACAGCGGCCTGGGGGGAAGAGAGGAGAAGAGACATCATAATCATCGCAAAGTCATGAATATGGGGGCTCCAGGTGCTATCTTGAGGTACAATGTCACCACATGGTCATGTACAATTCCTGCCCTCAGCCGCCAAGAACAATCTCATGCCTAGGAAAGATTTGCACACTCTGGAGGATCAGATGGCTCTGGGGCTGGACCCCAGGCTCTGGTGCCTTTCACTTGTATGTCATTACATCGAATGCAGCCCATACCAATGGGGACGTACACTCGCCACCTATGGGAGGCCATCTGGTGGTCTACGTGAGCAGTCTCAATGCAGCTCCCTGCATTCTCACAACAGGAACTGCCAACGCAGTGAGCACCATTGGTGGGGGTTGCAGCAAAGAAATGAAGGACTGAATGGCTAGGGAGATTGCAACACCAATCTCTCACGCTGCGGGCTTACCGTTCTACAGAAATGGACAAATACAGGGGGCACACACAGAGACAAGACAGGGCAGGCACGGACGACGGACCAGGCTTGGAGAGGCTGATGTAGAAGTGCTTTGTGGGACACAAAGGGGGAGGGGGGGGAAGGGAGGGAGGGAGTGAAGGGGGAGGGAGGCTGAGTGAAGTTGCTTAGCTCACGGGAAAGGGCACTTCCGAAAAGAAGCCTGTGGCACAGAAGCTGCAAAGGGAAAGGTGGGAGTACTCAACGCAGTGAAAAGCACAGCTCCGAGGGACATCGCTCATTTCAGTCCCGCTCTGATGTTCCACACTGCTGATTACTGATGTTCCACACCGCTAGCACTCAGCATTGATAATGATTTAGCTCAGACATGCAGAATTATGGAACAGAGACAGTGCCAGGTTCTCAGCTGGGGAAAATCAGCATAATTCCACAGAGCTCAACAGAGCAATAACGATTTACAGTAGGGTGACCAGACTTCCCAATATAATCGAGACCGTCCCAATATTAGGGGCTTTGTCATACATAGGCAACTATACCCCCCCCCCACAAAAGTGTCCTGGTTTTTCACACTTGCTATGTGGTCACCCTAATTTACAGAAGCTTAGGTTTCTACGCCACTAGAGGAGGAGATTTCATGGACATATCTAGTTTTCTGAATGAATAATTTCTGTGTCTCTCATTTTGGGTCTTGTCGGACATTACTATTTATCATCTGTATTACCACAGCACCTAGAGAACACAGTCACAGACCAGGACCTCATGGTGCTAGGCACTGTACAAACATAGAACAAAATCACGGTCCTCGTCCCAAAAGGTTTCCAATTTAAATACAAGACAAGAGACGACAGGTGGGGGAGCAGAAGGGAACAGTGGGACGATATCGCATCACGTGTTTGGGACTTGGCAGATGGAGCGGGTCGGTTGCTAGGGAAGCGAAGGCTACGCAAATAGAGCAGGATGATGGCCAGGAGATAGCTGTCCAAATGGTATCACACATTCAACTGAAAGATGGCCTTTCAAATAATTCAATAACCTAGCCACAAAACGTGCACTAATTTAGTGGTGTATCTGTGTGTATCTGCCTTAAAAATAAAAACGTCTGTAAAGCTTAAAAAAAACCCAAACAAACAAAAAAAACCCCAGCCTGCTCAATTGTCCAGGTGGCTGAACTGTGATACTGCTGTGCATGGAACCGATGATGACATTAATACCCAGGTGCTTACAGCTTCTTCACTGCCTGTCCCAAACTTATGCATGCTGCTGCCGTACAGTAACGGCTGTTGTGCTGGGCAAGCCCGTTTCAGCAGCAAGTAAAGGCATTTCAGTCCATAACGTGCGGAAGGCACTTTACGACCCTCCAGGATGAGGGGGAAGGTGATGTTTGAGATCTCTTAGGAGAGCTTGGAACGGAACCCAAATCATTCTTATTTGTGAAGTTGCATCAGTGTGGTTGGCACTGTAAGGGACACATAATACAGACCCTGCCGCAAAGAGCTTACACGCTGAGCAACCCGGTGGGAATACTCTAAGTCAGAGAGCAGATAGGAGCACGCTAAGAAGCCCAGCTGCAGGGATGTGACGGGGTGGGGGAGACCCTGTCCCGTGTGCTACTGAATGGGCCCAGGACCCCTGGCTTCCGTGGTCCGGGACGCCAGTGGTTCCTGGGCAGGAGCCAGTAAGGAGCATCCTTCCGCTCCAGCAGTCAGCCCAGACTAAGCCGGGCTGCTCCCTCTTATACTGCTACACCTGGAGCATGCCCAGTAGGGACGTGGGGGCGTGGCTTCCTCTGCCCACAGTGTGGAGTTAACCCTTCCCCGGCCAGTGCGGGGTGAGTTCACCCCGTCACAGGGGAATAAATAGACTTTTTTGCTTAAAGCTTAGCTTTGTAGATCATTCACGCTTGATGTCCTGATTCACAGCCCCGTGCTCTAGCCACTTCGCTATGCTTCCTCTTACATGGATGTCCCTTGCCGTACTGGGAGAGGAGTAATTTAGGGTGAGAAAGCGGTGGAAAAGTTTCCTAACAGCGACCATGCAGCAGTCTCGCTGCAGCAACGAGACAGATGAAATGGACTAAAAGGTCTTTTTCATCTATGACATGACAGAGCCCCCCCATTTCCCTCCCTTCTCCGGGTGGACAAGGCCAAGAGTGCTCAGTGGTCTCATCCAAAGCGCTTACGCAGCATTGCTGTAATAAGAAGTGACGCCTGGGGAGCAGTTAATATCTCTCCATATAAAACATGAAATTGAAAGCCATGAGTGTATTGCTTCACACACTGTTCTTCCGGGGGAGTATTCTTCAGGAGAATTTAACCTCCCTTGTGTGCCGTTCTGTGATCATCCGGTATCGTTTTTATGGGGCACTTGGACCCAGAGTAATGTAACCTCTGTGCAAACACGTCTCAGTTTCCTTTGTTAACATGTGAATGGAACATCCAGCAACCAATTCCTCCCCCCCCCACTTCCATTCATCATTCAGCCAGTTCCCATGCACTGGAATATACCTCTTTCTCTGGCTAGCGCGTCACTTTCAAGCTATTTGCAGGCTACTTTTCCGAGCCACTTCTGTTTACTCGTGTGCCAAAATACAGATTTAGGATTCCAGCTCTAGGCCCCCATGCCTGAAAACACTGGCCACCTCTGGGCCTGGTTTTGACCAAAGCTGAATACCTGTAGCCCCTGGGAAGTCAATGGAACTGCACGCGCTGAATATCATTCAGCCTATGGCCTGTTTTTTGCTGAAACCTCTAGGGCACAATCAGCCTCTGAGAAGAAAAAACACAATCCACGTGACAGATAATGCACTCTCTCCCATTGTGGCTGCAAAGAATGGAGGTATATTTTCCTGCAGGCCAATCACACAAGACCATTGTTAATTGTGAACACATCTGTGGCTAGATTCAGCTCAAATTAAAGACCCCATGTTTCCTTTCTCACTATTTCCCCGCTGCCTGCAGCAGACTAGTTAATGTCTGTACCTGAGACCAAGTAGCATTACTTCCCATGAAAGGCTAGGCACACAGAACTCGGGAGAACAAACAGATTGCACACGATTACAAAAATACCCTATGAGGAAAATAGCGGGTGGCATATTACAACGGCAACCCAGAGCAATGTGACCCAGTTGCTTCCGACAGAGGCAAAGACACAGAGAGCCCTTTAAAGGCAGCTTAAAGACAAATGACAAAATTAACATTCAACTTCACCAAGATGGGTCTTTGCAGCGTCACCATTTTCTTTCCCCCCTTTTAGCTTTCTTTTCCCCAGCGCTGATGAAATGGGTTGTATTGGCAGCCACTCCTGGAGTTCTCCAATGCACACGGCAGATGCAGCACCAGCAGGGCATGCTTCCCCCATGGTGCCCCAGCCAGCGGGCCTCAGGGACAGGTTTTAGGGGGAGTTCAATCTGTGTCGGCTGAGAGTTCTCTGAGGAGCTGCCAGGAGCGGGTACCACCACGGCTGATAGTTTCATAGTGGAAACTGGTGGACAGCAATAGCCCCAGACTTTTCTTCTGTAACTTTCCTAACTGAACCCAAGTCAGGTCTCAGTTACATAAAACTTCGGAGTATTATGACCTGGGTCCAGGGAGGTGGAGGGAAGCCCCAGTTGAGCCTCATCCCCTGTCCCTACTACGGCTGGGAAAGCTCTCCTGGAAGCTGCGGCTTTCTCACCTCCCCCATAACCTGACATGACTGAGGGAGAAGCCCACTCGGGTCCCTGTGCGCTTCTTCCCCAGTTACGGGAAGTCTTTTCCTTTGGCCAGTGTGAGTGGGAGGAACACTAGAACACAACCGTAACCAATCACCACAATGAAACGACCCGACACTCAGTCCTTCTTTTAAATAGGCTCTATTGTTGTCTAGAACACATCTGAGCAGTTCTAGCATGGTAAGGGAGGGAGGGCATAGCACCCTTCTGCCATGAAGCCAGTATGACCTTGTGCTCTTGGACCAATATCTCTGCACTTCCATTCCCCATCTGTAAAATGGAGCTAACACAACATTTGGCTCTTATCTATTTAGACGGTAAGTTCTTTGGGGGCAGTGAGAGTCTCTCATTGTGGGTACAGCACTCAGCCAAAACCATATAAAGAGCAGTAATAATAATGAGTAGAAAACACATGGACCTTCACCCACAAAACGCTTTAAATTCATGCATTCAAAGAAATGCCGATAGACTGTAGAGTATACCACAGTTAATCAAAACAAGGTCACATCCCCTGCTGCTTATTGATTACACTTAAATTTCCCTCGATCAACCCAATGTCCTCCCTGGTTTTCATTGCTGCTGGGATACAAATGAGAAGAAATAGAATACATTGCCTTTACCAAAGTGTATTACAGTATTTTTCATATGTAAATACATTGCACCAAATATCAAGCTAAAAGCTCCCCTGGCATTCTCAAGACCCTGGTATATTCCCCAGTGCTATTTTTCTAATCATCTCTGCTTAGGAGTTCTCCAGCAAGTGTGTTTTAGGAATTCATGACACATCTTCCTTTTGGACAGTTTTGAATCAGCTGGCAATGGATGTGGAAAAATCATTATTCCTAAT